CATGTGGCTACAATACATACTTACCCCTCCTCCCTCCTCTGATCCCACTCCCTTCTCTCATATTCTCCCAATTACAACTCCCCTCTACAGTACATACGTATGTACCTACATACACGTACACACACACAGACAAGACATTCAGTTACCACATCTTGTTTCTATAGCAACCCATCCACCAGACCCAGCATACTAGGGCCTAAAATCTCAGGTGAAAGTATCTCTGGCATAAAAAGGTTTCTGCTAGACCCCCAATGTCTTAAAGCCCCCTAGGCATAGCACCAGCTCCCTGGCTCCACTGAACTTTCACTCCTGCCCTATCATCACCACAGCCTGACTCCTCAATCGCTCCTCTGAGGCCCTGGCAACTCTTTCCAAGTCTAAGATTCCAGCAATCAAATCAGGGGAGGACCCAGGAGCCTGGGTGACATGCCCAGTGCCGCCCCTCCAAGCTCTCTTCACAAGACACTCCACGCTCTGCAGCACAAACCCAGATACCACTGAATTAGCTTTCCTGTCCACATCCCCTCCCCCACACTTTGCCATCTCCCAAGGAGAGCATCTCCGTCTTTGCCAAGTGTCTAGTGTATTCTTAGCCCCCTGGTGCTATTCATCATCACATTCTTTTGAGATACCATTTATCCCGGCCTTCTCAGGAACCCTGGTAGTGTAATGGATTACGAGCTAGGCTGCTAACTGCAAGATCAGCAGTTCAAATCTACCAGTTGCTCCAAGATAGAAAGATGAGGTTTTCTACTCCTGTAAAGATTTATAGCCTTGGAAATCTTATACAGGGCTGCTAGTTGGAACTGATTAGGTGGAACACAACCACCACCACCACTCTAAGTAAGGCCTCAGGACAAAGTTGGAGAATTTAACTAAGGGAAAATCATTCCGTTTTGGGTTTTGCTGTTGTTTTTTGCCAAAACACCTCCCCTGGGGCTATCTAGCCAGTTAGTAGCAGTATAAAGGGTGAGTTGGAATCCACTTCAAACAATTGTTTGAAAGCATGTACATGGGCTGTCTTTCTTTTTTCTAATCCAATAGCGATGCACAGAATTTTGTGTTGCAGGGAATTTACTGATAGGTACCTTACTATACCTCTAAACTGCCTTCAGAAGACCCAGCACTTAGTACAGTGTCCGGTCAATAAATGTTTTCTGAATGTCAGGTAAAGTTCTAAGTGCCAGTCCCTACAACACTGGAAAGGGCTAAAGAAAGTCCCTGCAACCTGCTCACAAGGGGCAGGAAACTCCATGCTACGGCATGGCCTCTTCCTTAGCCACCTGCTCCTCAGCACAATAGCATCCCTAATTCTCCGACCCCTCTAAAGGATGCTACCAGACACTTCTCTTCAAAGGTGACATCGGAACCCAGTGACACCTTGTCCTGGATCCCTCCTCCCTCTCAAAATTCATCCACACCACATTTCCAAGACCTCCAACTTGATTCACTTCTCTCTTCCCACCATCAAACCCAGCAGGATCTGTACCAGGAAACATCCCTACTGCGCGGCTGAAAGTAAGCTCCTGACTCCCACTCTTCCCGGAATCTCTGTGCATTTCTTCCTGTTGCGCCCACCCCCATCCCACCAGGCCTCGGTTGGCCAATCCTTTCACCCTACCGCTCTGGCACTGCGGAGATGGGGCATGTCGGGCAGCGCCCGAAACTGGCATGGCAATTCGAAGACTGGGGAGTTAGCTATAGTAAATAGGGGATGTTATGAGAAAGGCGGGAAGGAGTAAGACACCCTCCC